CCCAAGGGTCCATAGACATAGCATCATATTTTAACAAAATTAAGCAACTATAGGATGATATTGCATCTTTGTCTACTGGGAGAGTTCGAATGTGTACTTGTGGGGGTAAGGCTACTGAAGATGAAGAACAAAAGGTCTACCAGTTCCTTATGGGATTGAATGACACTTATGTCTAAACAAGAAGCAACATATCATGATGAAGCCCTTACCTTCCATTGGTAATGTATATGGGATTTTGCTATCTGATGAGAAGCAGAGACAAGTCTCTGTTGGAACTCAATTTGCTTCCAGCTCTGCTTCTTTCAGTGCTGGTGTATCCAGGCCTCCCCCCTCTCCCAAAATAAATTTTGAACCTCAAAGGTCTGGTGCCACTTTTAAGGGATCGTTTGAGCCTCATAGGTCTGCTATTATCTGTAAGTATTGTAAGAAATCTGGACATAATATTGATAAGTGCTACAAGCTCCATGGCTTTCCTCCAAATTTCAAATCAAATAGATCTCCTCCTCCCAGAAGGTCTGCTGCCCATGCTGAAGTGGATACTTCTGGTGCTTCTACTATGTCAGCTGGTTCTGAAGGTGCTTCTGCTCCTGAATAGTCCTATCCAGTTCATGGTCTTACCAAGGACCAATATTCCCAGCTAATGTTACTCCTTCAGCAATCTCAACTGTCTCCATCGGTATCATCTACTTCCTCAACCAACTATCTTACTTCTGCCAGCTTTGTTGGTGAGTTGTTACCTCCCAAGGGTGTGTCTTATTGTGCATGTATGCTGACTAAGATAGATAATATAATTTGGGTGATAGACTCTGGGTATCTGACCACATGACCTCCCTTAAATATTTGCTTTTTAATGTTCAAACACTTCTTATACCCTACCTTGTTTCTCTCCCTAATGGGTATGGGGTTAAGGTCACTAATATTGGATCCTTAACCTTGTTCCCTGGCTTGGTTCTTCATAATGTGCTATATATTTCTAGTTTTCAATATAATCTCATCTCTGTGTACAAATTACTTTCCCATGATGATGATATTGTACAATTTGCCAAGGTTGCTTGTACCCTACAAGGCCCTTCAGTGAGGAAGCCAGTGGTTCTTAGTAGATTAGACAATGGACTCTACAAACTGTTTTAGAATTCCAAGCCTCCAACATCATCTACTTTACCTCTTTCTAATTCCCTTAATTCTTGTTTGCTTAATTCAGTTTCTGCTCCTATTTTTGTGCCTGATGATACTGCCATTGTAAATACCAATACTGTTTTGCATAATATGAATAAAGATGATATTGTTTGGCATTACTGACTTGGCCACATTCCTTTCTCTAAAATGAAGTGCATTTATGGTCTTAATTGCAAACTGTCTTCCAAATAGTCATTCAATTGTCCAGTTTGTCCTTTAGCTAGGCAGACAAGGTTATCCTTCCCTGATAGTTCTATTCACTCCACCCAGCCCTTTCAACTAATACACATAGATACTTGGGGACCCTATTCTACTCCTTTCTATGATGGTTCTAGGTATTTTTTAACCATTGTAGATGACTACTCTAGAGCTACTTTGATATATTTAATGGGAGCCAAGAGCAATGCCTTTGAATTGCTCAAAGCTTTCATTGCTATGGTTGAAACCCAATTTCCACTCTAAAGTTCAAACTGTTAGGAGTGATAATGCTTTGGAGTTGGGATCTAGTTCTTCTGGTTGCCTTTTCTTTTCAAAAAAAAAGGATTGTACACCAAACCTCTTGTTCTCACACCCCTCAACAGAATGGTATTGTGGAAAGAAAACACAAACATTTACTAGAGACTGTTAGGGCACTTTTGTTTCAATCTAACTTACCGCTTAAATATTTGGGTGACTGCCTCTTAACTGCCACCTATTTGATTAATAGATTTCCTTCACCTCTTCTTAATCACAAAAGTCCCTATGAATTGCTTCATTCTTCCACTCCTACTTACCACCACTTTAGAGCTTTTGGGTGCCTTTGTTACTCAACTGTTACCACCCCTCACAAAGACAAATTTCATCCCAGGTCCATTCCTTGTGTTTTTATTGGCTACCCTTTTGCCAAAAAGGGCTACAAGCTCCTTAATCTTAAGAATAACACCTGTTTTGTATCAAGAGATGTCATTTTCTATGAACACATTTTTCTTTTCTTTCAATCCTCTCATGTTGTACCTTAGGTCTTCCCCTTTCCTTTTTCTGCTTGTTTTGATGAGGTTTCTTTTCCTCCATCTTCCTCTCCTTCCTACCCTTCACCTTATCCTTCTACTGCTCCTCCATCCTTATCTGTTCCCACCTCCATCTCTTCTCCTTCTCATGCTTCTATCCCTCATGTACCTCCTCCTGTTTTGAGAAGATCTTCCAGGCCACACAATCCACCCAGTTATCTCAAGAGTTATGTCTGCACATCTACTTCTTCTCCTCATCCCTCCAGGTCTGTCTCCAATGCTCCTTCTCTTAGTCAGCCTCATATTCCTGAGCCTTACTCTTACTCTTAGGCTGCATTGTTCCTGAATGGCAGGCAGCCATGAGATGTGAATTTGAGGCCTTGGATGGTAACAGAACTTTAGGACATTGTTGAATTTCCTCCTGGCAAGAAACCTATTGGATGTAAACGGGTATACAAGGTTAAATATAAGACTGATGGGAGTATTGAAAGATATAAAGCTAGGTCGGTAGTTAGGGGGGACACTCAAATTGAGGGTACTGACTTTAATAAAATATTTTCTCCTGTGGTCAAGATGTCTACTGTCAAAACTCTAAGTGTTGTAGTTGTTAAGCAACACTGGCCCCTCTTTCAACTAGATGTGAATAATTCCTTCTTACATGGGGACCTTGATGAAGAGGTTTTCATGAAGCTGCCACGTGGTCTCACTGTTACTCATCCTTCCTCTTCTTTTGCTCCTTTGGCTTGCAAACTCCAGAAATCTCTTTATGGTTTAAGACAGGCTTCCAGACAATGGTATGCTAAATTGTCTCAAGTCTTATGCTCTAAGGGCTTTTCTCATTCCTTAAATGATTACTCTATTTTTACCAAGGGTTCTGGAGATTCTTTGGTCATCTTGGCTGTGTATGTAGATGGCATCATCTTGACTGGGTATGATCTAGGTGAATTGGCTGATTTGAAGTCCTTTCTCAATGACTAGTTCAAGATTAAGAACTTGGGCTCTCTTAACTACTTCTTTGGCATTGAGGTTTTATACACTGATTCTCGGGTTGTTCTTCATCGGAAAAAGTTCATTCATGATTTGTTGGCTGACTTTCATTCCTCTGATTTCTCTTATGTCACTTGCCCTCTTGAGTTGAATGTGAAGTTGAAAGATAAGGTTGGAACTCCCTTGCCCAAACCTGAAGAGTACAAGAGTCTAGTGGGCAAGCTGAACGTTCTGACACACACTAGGCCTGACCCTAGTTTTGTTGTCTAGCATCTGAGTCAGTTTATGCAGTCTCCTTGTGTTCCAAACAAGCAGGCTGCCCTGCACTTGCTGAGATACCTCAAGGGCACATCTGACTTTGGAATCTTTCTCAATAACTCTCTTGACTTGTCCTTGCAGATTTAATGTGACAGTGATTGGGCTTCTTGCCCAGACAGCCGCAGGTCAGTCACTGGTTTTCGTATCTTTCTTGGGGGCAACTTGGTGGGCTGTAAATCAAAGAAGCAACCTGTTGTCTCCCCTTTCTCTGCTGAAGCTGAGTATCGGTCCATGAGTAAGGCTGTGGCAGAGTTGTCTTGGCTCACTAGATTGTTATCTAATTTTGGAGTTTCTCCTTCTTTACCTGTTTCTTTGTTTTGTGATAATCATGCAGTCCTCCACATTGCAATAAACCCAGTTTTCCATGAACACACTAAACATATTGAGTTGGACTGTCATTTTGTTCGTGGTAAGCTTGGGGATGACCTGATCAGTCTTCTTCACACTTCCAGTGCTTCTCAAATGGCTGATGTTCTTACCAAAGTGTTACCTGGGCCTGCTCATCATCGTCATATTCGCAAGCTGGGAGTTGTGTCACCTTCAAACTTGAAAGGGGTTGTTGGACTAGGCCCATTTGATAGTGGCTGATTCCTTTTTTTATTTTTACTTTGGGCCAGTAATAGGACCCGGCCCAATCTTATATTTAACTAGGCCTTATTGTTTTGTACAGATAATTATTTATTTTCTTACAACAGATAATACAAATATCCAGAAGTTTCTTTTCTCTCTCTAATGGAAACACTCGACTTCTATTCTTTTGTGCTCTCAATTCGAGAGATGTATCAAATCTAACAATGTTACGGCTTTCAAAGAACTGTTGAAGGTGCAGTTTAATTGGATACAATCTTTTGGTATTTCATGCTGCTATTATTCTACTGAGTTCTCTAAACAGTGATTTCCATTTGGAATTGAACCCCACTAAAATAATTATTTTTCTATAATATACTTAAAAGATTAGATTAGGTATTCTGTATCCCTTTGGTATTGTATATTGACGTCTTAAATATTCAAAGCAAAAATATGTCTCCAAAAACTTTGTATTTGTATCTCCATAAGGCACTTTATTCGTTTAGACTACCTACGTGTGCTGTATTTGCTGGATAAGTCAAAGTGCTACATATAGTAACATTTATGCCGGTTTGTTATGTATGCATCGTACCTACCTAGCTGCATTTAGTTGTTCAACTTCGCAGTTTATACATTATCTTATTAATTTTGCATTCAATAATCAAGTTTGAGCTTGTATTTTTCTCTTTTAAATTTTGTGCAACTTATCACACATATTTTAATATTGTTTATTTATACTATTTTAAAAAAAAAATTAGGATACACGTGCAACGCACGTGTCCAGAAACTAGTATATATATATAGATAGATAGAGAGAGATAAATGTTGTTGCTCTCTCCATTAGTTAGATATTTGACTGACACTGCTCAAATTTTATAAACTTAAAGGACCAGACATGCTTAAGATGACCTTTAATGGACTTCTTTGAACATACCTTTAACATAAGGAATCGTTTTGTTATTTTCTCTCAAATCAAATGGACAATACCCAGTTCCTTCCAGCTTAAAGCCTCCGGCAAAAGAAGTCTTCTGAAACCTCACCGATTAATCCTCGATGCCGGTGAATACTGTTTAAACTCGCGCTTCACACACACAGTACATATTTGGACAGTGGAAAAAAGAGAAGAAATGGCTGAAGAATCAGAGAAGCGGTTTCAAGAGGCCATGGACAAGCTCTTTCGGGTTCCTCCCAAATCCAAGCCCAATTCCACCAGGTTCTCTTATTTCCCTATCTTTTTAATTTCTTAATTTTTTGTTCGGTGACTGAATTTGTGTACATCTAATGGCTATGATGTTTAATTGTGGCATTTTTGGTTTGGCTGTACTAGCGCATGTGGAGTTCAATTGTCAAGAGGCAAGAAGCGGCCGGATATGTCATCTGCGTTTGCATCAGTGGATCCAAAATTAAGAGGCAAAGCAGTTAACAAGCACAATTTATTTGCTACTAACAGTTCAGGGGAAGCTCCGCCTTGTAGACCATGGGACCGAGATGATTTATTTACAAGGATAGCCACTTTTAAGGCTATGACCTGGTTTGCTAAACCAAAGGTTTGATTTTTAGTGCCTCCTCTTCTTTTTAGTGCCCCTCTAAATATTTAATCCTTACAGTAAATAGTACTTAGGCAACCCATTATGCCTAAGTAACATATAATGTCTCAAGGGAACAGACACCAAGCTTTCTTTCTATGCTTTTAAACCATATGCTTTTGCTCAGTTGTTCTAGTAATAGAGAAGTATACTTTTTTATGACGATTCCAAAGCTAATTGCTCTAGCTGACTGGTTGAACTTATACAGGCTTTTACCCTTATCCTAGAAGATTCTTTCGGAAATAGTCTGTGTTTCTAAGTTCTATGGTCTTCCTTTAGAAAGTATCTATCTTTTCTACATTCCTATAATCCACTTTTTTCTTCTTTATGTTCTTGCAAAGGTTAGCTCTACATCTTTTCTTCGAAAAAAGGAACTTTTCCTTCTGTATTATCTGTTTGCACATAAACTGTTTCCACTCTGCCACATTCTAAATCTTAGAACACAATGCATTTGTTCCTTGGCAGGCAATTAGTTCTGTTAACTGTGCTAGAAGAGGTTGGATTAATGTAGATATGGATACCATTGCATGTGAAGCATGTGGATCACGTATGCTTTTCTCTACTCCGCCATCTTGGTCGCAACAGCAAAGTATGTTGCTCATCTTTTCCATCTTTGTGGCATCTGATATATTACTATTATTCTTAAAGTCATTGTTGCCTCGTTCTCATTTCATACTGAATTTGTGTTTCTCATTTCACGGTTCTCCCATTTGCGGGCGTCAGTTGACAAAGCGGCCTTGGTATTCAGCTTGAAGCTGGATAGTGGACACAAGCTACTTTGCCCTTGGATTGACAATGTCTGTGATGAAAAACTAGCAGATTTTCCACCTACAGCTACTGCTATGCTAGTTGATCAGTATAAAATACGGCATTCTGTTCTATCACAGCTTGCTGCTCTTCCTGTGATTTCACCTAAGGCTGTCGCTAGCTTGAGAAGGCCTCAGTTGGAACAATTTCTACGAGAATCTTTAACTGTGGAACGTGATGAGCCTGAGTCCACACGAACTCCCCAAAATGAAGACACCAGAAATGAACGCACTCCAGTTTCTTCTCTCACATATTATCAGGTATGAAAGAAAATGTGTACATGAGCCAGCAAATATTGTTCTTAGTTTCTCATTGCAGGAGAATGTTGACGAGTACAAAACTGCTGCTAACCCTTACTCAACTTGATTTCTCTGATTTAATTAGTACGATGGCAAGAGCTGGTGCCTAACTGCATATCTGCTATCAAACAAAACTTGTCTCATCCATTGTCCAGTTGATCACTATGCTGTTTATTTTTGGCCTACATATCTATATGTCTTCACTGTTTGAGGAGGGGTTGGGCGGGAGCAATCTTAGAATTTTCACGAAATTTTATCATTCTTCTTTTTTGGGAAGGAGGGACAGGGTGGGGGAGGTGAGCAGGGTTTTATTTCGAGCTATAAGTTTAATTTTCTTAGGTTAGACTCACTCTAAAAAATTGTATGGGCTAATTTTTAACTTAATTTCTTTTGTTAGATGAAGTAATTGTGTTTGTCAATTTGTGGTTTTTGGTATTGATATATTGAATCATGTTTAGGCACAAAAGCTCATTAGTTTATGCGGCTGGGAACTCCGAAGACTGCCATATTTAGTTGACTGCAAGGATCAGCTGTATCAATCTAGTAAGGATGCCAATCTCTTGGATAAGTCTCTTTTGAGCAGGAAGAATCAGACTATTACTGTCTACAGTTCATGTACTGATAAGACTTCTGAGAGCAAGACAGATGATGAAAGTCAAGCTTCTGAAGACGCAATAATCAATCCAAATGCTGTTGTTCTCGACTGTAGGCTTTGTGGGGCTTGTATTGGTCTATGGGATTTTTCCATGGTTCCTCGGCCTTTGGAATTTCTACGAGTAAGTGGATACACACAGGTCAACGATGACCATGTCAGTCTCACCGATGGCGGTAAAAACCTTCTTTCCGGCAACAATGATCGTGATGAGAGTAGAGAGAACATAGGACACATTGCAACTTCTGGTAACACTATGTTAGATAGAAGACAGCCAAGTTTAAACTTAACGATTGCAGGTGGTCCTCCTCCAGCAACGCATAATTACAGGGCAAAAATTTCTCTGCCAATCATTGGGCGGAATTTGAGAGCATGGTTTATTGCTGAATCTGAGCTTAAGGATGATTTAGTAACCAAGAACGCATCTGGGAAAGGCAAAAACCCAGAGTTTCCTGCAGGAGAAAATACAACGTCTACATCAGAAGTGATAGCAGAAGCTCAACTGGATAACGACAAGACTGCAGCACAAGTTTCTGGCAACACCACTGAAATGGCTGATAATGCAGAAAGTTTGGACAAGGTTGATCCAGCAGTCACAGATCATTGTAAGAACAAGGTTGGAAATGATTTTGGGTCAAGTAGCAAGGATAGTGTCATAACTCGTGTAGGGGAAAGTGGCGAGAGCAGAGTGATGGTTGAAGGCAACAATGTTACACAAGGAGGGGAACAAGGCAATGGGCATGATGTTATAATGGCTGGCGTGCGTCCTCTTATCCGTGGCATTTCACCTAGTCGAGGTAATTCAGTTTGTTTAGTAATGTTTTCTTTGATCAAGCTTGCCCATTTGCATTAGCATGGTTGCAAAATTTTCCATGGAGTTGATTTATATTGGCTATAGGAGGGTGAACCAAGTTTGTTAGCAATATGGATCCAGTCTCATGAAATGGTCCAAGTTTGGTATACTTGCGTTGAATTGCAGTTTTTACCTGCATTACTGTCCAAGGACTGTTCAGTCTCTTCTTATTTTGCATATCTTTCAGAATGACCATATGAATTGCTAGGCTTCTTCCTCCTTTTGGTATTCGCTATTATGCCCATGAATCAGTAATACAACACCTATATTCATTCTGCTGTCTATCCAAAGACCTCACCTCATTGACCCAAGTTTTTCATTCTTCTCTAGCTTCAAGTCTAGGAAGGCCCCTTCCCTATTCTGTGATACTCATTTTGAATTGCACCGCATTGCCTCTTTGGTATTTCTGTCTGCTTTGCTGATATATCAGACATATACGCTTGGAAAACAGATTCTTTTCAACCAATTTATAATTTCACAAAAGTATCATTTTCATGCAGAAATTCGTATGATGAACAATAGAAAAGAAAAAGGAAGGTACATTTTTTATGTGCATTCTTTGCTCTAATTATGTTGAGCGTACAAGTGTAACTGACAGATTATGTCATCCTTTCAGGAAAAGCTATGGAGTTTGATCCATTCAGGCTGCACAGGTATTTTTGCCCCTGGATTGCATCTAATGGTGGCTTTCCACCAGGGTGGGAACAAACATTATCCGCTTTAGAGCGTCATGAAGAATCTTCTTCTTCTTTGTCCAGCTATCATCCATCTTCCTTGATTAAGGTAAGGAGGAAGTAAACTAAGATAGCAAGTTAGTTTGACTAACAAGGATAAAGACATTGTTAGCTGTAGTAGTAATTTTCTTGATTGATGCTGTTAGCTGTAGTAGTAATTAGGCTAGCTTATTACGAAACAGATAACATCAGTAGCTAATTAGAGCAACCTAATTAACATGTAAACTCATATTTTGTTTGGTGTTTAGCAGATCTATTGATGAAATGATGCTCCTTTCATTCGTTTAACAACAATCTATTTCTTCATGGCCTTGACTTGGAGAAATACAGTTTGGGCGTACTGTTCGGATATGATAACTTGAGAACTTAAGGCAAGATTGTTCACATTAAACTAATGATGTTAATAATTCCATTTGGACAAAAAAGAAATAAAATCCATTTGGATGCTGCATTATTTACCTCAGAGATATTTAGACCAAGCATAATTCAGAGAGAAAATATATAGTATACTATCTTCTGTTGGAACGAAGATTTATCTTTCTGGGTCCAGGTTTCGATTTTGAACTCCACATTCCTTTTACCCTGTCTGCTTATGCTTTTAGTCAACTTATAAGTTATATGAACATGACAACTTCAATATCCATTTAATTTTTCTTAGTAAATCACAAAAAAAAGAGGAGTAAATGAGATCATTAGTCGAAGATGAACGGTGATGTTGCATGCCCTTATAACACTGCTGAGGCATCCTCATACATCCAAGTCAAAATTGAGAATCAGTTTAACAGGCTTAGGGATGTTACTTATCAGACTCTACTGTCAGTATCATCCTTTTATTTGCTGATAATTGAAGACGATTTATCACTTGAGCTTCTGATTTTGTAGCTCATTTAATTTGTCGAAATTTTGCTTGGTCGCAGCTGTTTATTTGAATTTAATGGGATAGTTTACCATGGTGTCAGTGGAGTTCTATCTGGTGGTTGACCCTTAGCATATATTGTTAGAGGAAATGGTGGGTTTAGTACTTCTAAAAAAAGTGCTTTTAGCCTCCAAGAAGCTTGGCCAAACTTGCTATAAGACAGAAAAGCACAAGCTTCCTTTGATCTCTTGATACCAGATGGTCTGAGTAATGGGATGAGTGCTACTTATTCTGTGCTTAATCTATCTGCCATTGTACTTGTTTACATTTACTTGTATAGTCTAACTATCAGGAAAAGAGATTATATATTCGCCTTCTATCCTTGTTTACATTACTTGTATAGTTTTGCTGCCAGAAAAAGGATTAATCTTACTTTATATGTACTTTTATTTCAGAAAAGTTCTATCGTCAGAAAGCAAATGATTTATCTTGTGTTGCTCCTGTGCAGGGGGGTGATCCTGTTGCTTCAGTGCAAAAGCTTTTTACATCTCCTCCATCCAAGCGAAAGAAGCTTGTTCGACCAAGTTAAATCAGCAAAGCTAACCACGTGCTAGAATATAGCCCCCATGGTCCCCGAGGAAATTCACCAGACAGACTGGGCCATAAGATTACCTTCCCAGTGGAGAAAAGTTTTTGCATCTTATTACCTGTATTTTACCTGTATGTCACAACTGTGAGCTTGTGTAGTGGATAATTAATTAGTAAGACGCTTTTGAGATAATTTCTCCAAAGTGAGAGCAATATATGTATTTTGTGAATGCTATTGTTAATTACTTAGAGAGAGTTGCAATCTGCTTTTTTGGACGGAGAAAGTAAAACAAGGGGAAGACACTATAATTGTTGCCATTGATATGAACTTTCTGAGGAGAGGGAAAATTGCATCGTGAATTTGTTTGGTACATAATTGCTTTACACTTCTAATTTGAGCAGTTCTTCCTCTTAGCAGAATCAAGAGGACAAAAATCTCTCAACCGCATCTTGATCAATCCATCAAGCCGCAATTTGTTATTATCACCTTTGAGTAAGGTCTGTTGAAGCCTCTCTCTGCAACTACAGCCCTTTTATCTCCTATCAACTTAGCCACCCTGTTGATAATACCAAAAAATTAATGCATCTGTATGGTTCCCTTAGTTGAATGATTTTGCATGGGTTAGTTTTATGTATTATTATCCTAATAGGTAACTGTTATGTTTTATCTATGCTGTGACATTTCTGATAGGAAACTGTTTTGTCTTCCTATTAGTTGTTGAAATATACCAGATTGTCTGTTATATGTTTTCATATTTAGTGTCAATTTTCAATAAAAGCCAGCAGATCAGCTAGGTGATTGGGAGATGGCAGTACCTGAAATAAGGAGAACTGGTATTCTCTTTCACAGTTTTGACCTGGCCAATTCTCTCCACAACATCCATACCATCCAAGACTCTCCCAATGACTAAGGCAGAGGCATCTAAATCAGGTGAGTCTTTAACTGCAATGGTAAACTCTGTCCCATTTACATCTTTTCCCAGTTCTTCTTGGTCGATTTCCAGCTTTCCTTTTCGAGCAACCAGCTTCATCTTCGGAGGTGGTTTTGAGGGGTCCCTCACAATAATGCTGACACTTCTTGCTACATTCTTGGTTCCTTGACACCCTTCACTCTGTTTCTCCCATTCATCGACAAGGCTATCGATTTCCATAGTTCTTCCAGTGTTCTTTGCAAGTTCAGCATCCACACCAAATGATCTCAATCCACCATGTTGCACATAATTTGGCATTATCCTCGCAAACTCTTTTCTTCTGTAACTAACCCCAGCTGCTCCACTAACAAGTTTACTGAATCTTGTTGAGCCAACCGGGGCTTTATCGCCGTATAGCCCGATAATAATTCTTCCTATAGGTTCACCATCAACTGATACTTCAAGAAATGCTCGCTTTGTCACATTCTGATCTGAACAATAATCGACTTTTCTTGAAGGCTCTTCTGGTTCTATTTTATCAGGGCTATCGGTTAGTTCATCTGCCCTTGCCCTTGACAAATTCAATGGCTCAATTGCTTGGGAGCCTAAGAGTAGAATCAAGGATGAATTAGTACCTATGGCAAGTTCTCTGCGCGAAAATTTGCAGCATTGGTTGGGAATTGAAAGAGTTTTAGTTGTAGTAGCTGTGCCTTGAATTTGTTTTGGAGGAAGGGGAGATGCTGGAGGCTGGAGAAACTGAGCCGAAGACTGCATAATTTTATGATTTGGTTCCTTTCTTCTTGAGAGAGCTTCTAAAATCTGCCTCTCTAATTGTTTCTCAACTTTCTCTTCATTTTATATGGGTGTAAGAAGTCTGTTTTTTTCCTTTAACATACAGAATGATTTTTGTGGATAGGAACAGCACAAGGCAATCCCCTCATATCTAATACGATCATGCTACTGGTTTATAGAGACTTGACTGGGCCATCCTTTACTTAGCTTTGAATAATATATATTGTATATATAACAGAATGCGTGTGTGTGTATATATATATATATATATATATACAAAAAATATAAAAGAATATATTTTTTTTTGGCTATTATTTTGAGAGCGGCTATATAGTGTCATTTTCCCTAAAACAAAATTATGGTTGGGGCATGACATTTGTTACTATAGTTTTGTCGAGTATTGTATGGTTAATATTTCCGAACAACAATTTATTTGGATGGTCACACCATTTAATGATGTGTTTTCTGCTGGCAAAATAATACTCTCTCTGTCTTATATTATGTGTCGTGTTTTTTTTTACACGCCCCTTAAGAAATATTAGTTAGAAAAGGGATTGGACTATTCTACTCTTATTTATGTCTTAAGATATAATCTCTCTTCATTGAATGTTTATTCTATTTATGTGTTATCTCTATCTTCAAGAACAATTATTGCTAAGGGTAAAAAAGGAAAAAAATAATTACTTTTGTCTTGAACTTCTAAAATGACAAATAATTTGAGATAACTATTTTTAGTAACCACAACGACTGTTAATATGAGACAGAGGGAGTACCAATAGCATTGTAAACGTGCTCGTTGTGAAAACAAATTGAAAAATAAAAAGAAAAGGTATTAAATGTAATATATGATAGGAATTGCGGGGTTTTGTTTATTTAACACACGTTTTTGTTTTTTGGTTCAATATTTAACACAAGATGCTACAATAGGAAGGAAAATATATTACCGCCATTCCCGATCCGCACAGTGATGACTGTTCAATGTTACTAATAACTAGTGAATTGGTAATAAGAATAAAAATTAAAGAATGGCAATTATATAAAATCTAAATACGATTTTTTGATTAGTAGGTCAACTTCTATTTTCATATTCTGATTAAAGATGTAGATTTTGATGGGTAATTGGCACTACAGACATATTCATGTTTTTTTAATGGATGATAATGCTATCATAAGAATCTACGTAAATCAAAAAGTAATCATATGTTGCTTATTTAAAGATAATTTATTTGTGAGAAAAAGAATTAGAAAATGGACACCATTATATCGTGAAGAGTGATATGGGAAGAGTGCAATTTGTTAATACTTGACCACAACTAAAAATAACATGTAAAATAATATGAATATAATTTCGAACTATAAAATATAAATTAAAATTCACTATTTTCTAAACACTTGTTTTTTTTTTATTTTAAAAAGGTTATGTTTGAAGATCACTTTACCTTACAAGCTTTTCAATTTTCTTTATGATAACATATACTATCGTCAGATATTGAAAAAAAAAACAATTCGACCAATCATTTCTGAATTACCTTTTAAATTTGTACTACAACATATTTCCTAAAGAGAAAGAAATGAAGAAAGAAAAAATGCTAAGATCCATGTGAAAAGTCATACTATATGAAAACACATTCGTGCTTAAAGGAATTTTATCGGTGAAACAATGAGAAAAATAAAAGAAATTGCTTTCTTAGAAAATAAACAAGTCTTAACGTAGTAGAATGGTATATTTATTCAATTTCCTTATAATTTGGTATTAGAGATTGTTATAAACTTTATGAACCATTTATTGAACCAAATACATCATTCAAATATTAGTATACTAACTTGAAAATTTGTGTTTCCTATTAAGTACGTTTGAATTGTCCTTTATAACGATCAGAGACTAGTGAATTTATTGATCCATACAATTGTTCATGTACCAATAGAAAATTTGGTAGCTACCGTGACCTCTACTTCTGCAAGTGGTACTCTTGGTTGAGGAGTTAATCGGAATACTGCGAGTATATCATGATCCTTGATTTGATACTTACGAGTATAATTAGTTATTTTGTAGTCTTTAATAAGCTTTGAATCCGATATTTGCCTTAGTCTCTGTTTGTTACCAAAAATAGATAAATACTTGTTTTAAGTTGGTTGTACTTTTAAGTTCTTTAAATTCATATAGGCAGGGCGATTGAGTGTGTGCTTCCACAATCATTTTTTAGTTCCTTCACACAATAAAACAAAACAAAGACTATTGTACTCAACTGCTTGTGCCATATGATGAGAGTTTTCTATGTTCTATACAGCTTGTTTGGATGGTTGTTATTTATCATTTCTTAATGTATTATATTATATTATATTATATTGTATCGTTTTGATGTATACAATGTTTGGATAGATTGTATTATTTTTCGTCATTTTATGATGTCATGCACCAAAAATATGAAGAATAAACTTGCAATTTTATAAAGAAAAGTAAGATACGGAATAGAATTATTATATAAAAAGGTAAGGTAAAGGATAAAATATGATTATTTAATAATATACAAGGGCAAGATGAGAAAAAAAGAAAAAGGGAACGACGCGATCATACCAAATCGGTCATTCCATAAAGTTGCACTTTTTGTCGTTACGTAACGATAGATTTAACAATGCGATAGAATAAAATTTAAATAACAATCAAAACAAACATTGTATTTAAAGTAACTATACGATACAATACAACAGTTAACAACCATCCAAACACTGTAAGCTATATATGTTCATTCATACCAATACAAGAAAATTTTCGAAATTAGACTTCTTTCTTTAAATTTGTTTGGAGTTCGAATTTGAGGTATGAATATTAAGTATAGATCATAGTTCAAATATTTCTGTTTACCCGAAAAACGGATAGAGTTGAATTTGTACGTAGTTCTAAGGGTACGTGGTATAACTTGACACAAATCAGAAAAGTAAGTAGAAATATATTGAGTATTGACTGTATAAGGGATGAAATACAAATCAAACTGAATGGAAGATGTTTTATAAGCAAGCAAGATGAATCAATGTACTAAGCCCAAAAAGGGGATAATCTTTATTTCAATATCAGTATGTTTTCTCTGTGAATAATATAAAAATGTAGGAATGCCTTCAATGTTCAATGCCTTATAGAAATAATAGCCATCCCTCTTATAGTGGAGGGATCCTACTTTGGATATATTTAAAAATACATAGTGGGGAAATCATGATACAATAGTTTTTCCCTAATTCCCGCTGAGATTCTCTCTCCTTAGTGCGACCGTAATGGTTCTTGTTTCTTGGCTCGATCTTGGTCGGATTTGGTATTGGTTGATTTCCAGATTTAGAACTCGATATTAACTCGAGGCTCGGTATCGAATCGGGCTTGATATTGGTCGGTCTCTGGTTCTTGAGCTCGATGACACCGCTTCACCTCATGGTTTATTTTGGACTCGAGCTCGGTACTTGATCGGTCCCAGAACTTCAAGCTTGGTAACCTGGATTCAGATCCCATCTCGATATTATGAAGATGACCTTAGGTCCATTATGCTCCAATCTTGACTAATCATATGAAGGTCGAAAACGATTTTGATCGTATACAGATAGTCCCATTATTTATCGGGAAGAATGTGGCGAGAAACGA